GGCGGGCTCGACCAATGAGAAGCCCCGAACAACAAGGCCACCGCATTGCACTGACCCGTCCACAACGAGCTCTGCTCCCACGCCCCGTCTAACAAAAACTGTGCTCTTGTGCTGTTGCGATTCGCAGCCTGCGGACCCGCACCATCCCTCAAGCCTCCTCGACGGTCGCCTGCAACGTCTCCTGTGCCTTGGGGTCGATAGCACTGGTGGCCTGTGGGTGGGATGGACAAGCTATAAGAAAGACGGACCATGGGCTTCGATCTTTGCATGCATCATATACGCTGGGGATCCGCCACCGTGCCCTAGGGCACGAGTTGTTGGCATCAGTCCTCAATCCTGCGGATCTTTTACAGGGCCCAGGTCCCTAGCTCTCAATCTCTCGGGGCTCCTGGCGTACCCCCTGGGCTCCCCCGAATGTCGCATCTCTGTTTGCGGGCCAAGAGGGCCCCAAGATGCAGCCCAGATGGGCCAAGGGGGCCCCGAATCGCCGCACGATCGGTCCAAGACGCCCACGATGGCCCAACGACTGCCCAGGAAGCAGTCGAGACGCCCCAAGAGCCTTCCCAAGAGGGCCCCGAGAGATTGTTGCTTGGGTTGCCGTACCTGCTGTTCGAGCTTCCCAAGCTCCGAGACATCCAGAGAGATGCCCTGTTCGGCGGGCGAACCCTGGTACACCATGACGGGGGTGGAATCATGCCAGCGGGGGCTGGGCAACCTGAGATCCCAAGAGGCCCCCAAGAGGCCCCCGAAAGAAGCCCCACGACACCTCCAGCCTAAAAGCTGCCTCGAGGAGGCTCCCAAGAGGCCTCGACGAGATCCCAACGAACATCAAACAACACGCCTCGGATCCACAACCCAGGCACGGTGGCGCGATGTGCCGAAGGCCATTCGATATGTATCGCATTCGCTGGAAAGTTGTGACAGTGTTTATAAATATGGCTGCACCAACCCACAGACATATCCACACACACAGACGCACACATATTGAGCGGTCGTGGCCTCGCGCGCAGCGACGAGGCGGAGAACATCAAGTACGGCGGCCGAGAACGCATACACACAAACACCGCTGTGCATGTCATGCCCATTCGATGGAAACGAACGTAACGTACGCGGTGAACCATCATACTGATATATGCGTACGGACCCATGTGCACACACGCGGCTGCATGTATTACCACAGTCACTTACACCTATATGTGAATATTGCATTGGTGAATGACCACATGTATATATGACGTCATGCGCACGCGTGTGCGCATCGATGTATACCGACGTATGCAGTTACATCCGCATCCACGTTTGATGAATATGGGCAAACTTGCAGGTGTACACACACGCACATGTGTGGCCATAAGGCTACATAATTCGTGCGCTCCCAAATGCATGTGCACCGTTACAATCGCCCTACTACGCCAAGTGTCACGTGCAGCCGCAATGTTGGGGGGGGAAGGTTCAGACTAGTGGGTGTAGATGTTTCCAGCATGGCGCATTCCATCATGATACATGCGTCCCTCTATGTGTGCGCAAATATAAATTTATGCAAGCACCTACACATTCATCATATGTGAAGGCTCGTGTCGTGTCGCTTCAATGTTGGCGACAGACCCTCAAATATTTGAAGACATACTCGTTTGAAAGGGCTCGGAAACAATTTTAAAATGCAAATGGCATGACACAACAATTCACTGGGGGCGTACCCAGGGGAGATGGGCGTGACGTAATCCCAAGTGTGAGATGCGCGGACTAATCATGATGGGCCCACCTGATGCGATCACCCCCGTGCGGCAGAGATGGGTTTCGTCGTGACAGATGTCCAAGAAAGGATGTGCCATCGAAGCGGGTAGACACATAATCACAGACGGAGCGTAGCCGCACGGGCCGCACGTAATGTGCGTGCACATCCAAACTGACATCCGCCACCGCGCTCTCCAGCACACTGAGGCGTGTCAAAGTTACAGTAGCCAACAACAACTTTGTGTTTGAGCATAATATCTCGGAGGCCCACGCTGACTTCTTGGATTTGCGCTGGACCCCCACTCCTTGGCGCGCGGAGCGCGCCAGGGCGGCGACGGAGGCGCCGCCGGGGGGGAAACTGCGGATCCGAGAAACCAGCGCGGATCTCCGAGGAATTGCGTGTATGACCCTCTTTCGTTATTCGACGCCTTGCAGGAGGCCGTGCTGTCGGGGATCCGTGCTGTGTGAGGGCCACCCTCCTCCGTCGCACCTTCTGCGCTCATCGCGCCCCGCCATGCCGAGGAGCACCCATGGGAGCCCTGGCGCCTCCACGGTGATGCCCAATGCCGCACGGGGGCTGAAGGTGAATTCGAAAGCATCCCAAGAAGGCCGCCAAGGCCAAGGCTGGCACAACACTGGCTCCACACAAGGAGCCCTGGCAGCCTGCAGGAAGGCCCCAAGAGGCTCCCCAGAGGTCCCAAACGGCGCCCAAGAAGCAAGAGGCCTCCGAGAGGCCCTTCAGGAAGACCCGCAGAGGCCTACACTTTGAACACAAATAGCTGGTACAAAATATTCTGCGCGTCGCCCTGTTCTGTTCCAAGGTGACGCGACATTCCCCACGATGCCCCCGGGTCACCCTAACCAGCCCCATTGCCACACGACGACACATAGCCCAAGACAGCCTACGACTGCTCCAAGGCGGCCCAGGACAGGCTCAGAGCGGCCCCCAGAAGCCCGATGGACTGCCCCGTGGCCTGCTTTCAAAAAGCCAACAGACATCCTCTCCCCCCAGAAAACCCCTCCCAGCAAATTCTTGGACGGCCAAGCGCGCCCATTTCGCACCCCACGATCCACTAACAGTAGAGATATCAAATGTCACATGTCAACGCCTTGCCTCCACTGGGGAAGCGGAAAACTAGTGCACGTCACGGTCCTTTTGGGTCAACGGGAAAACATCTGTCACATGATACGGCCTTTTTGAACCTCCGAACAGCATGTCACATGTACCGCCCCCTGGACCTCGCCTTGTCGGCAGTTATACAAAAACCTGCTGCACGAAAGTGCCCCGCTGACAAGGCGTGCGAACTCGATGCAAGCATCCTGAGTACATGTTCAGCTGTGAATGAACAGTGGCTGACAAAACAAAATGCACATACTATGCTTGCAGGCGCGCTCAAGCCCCAACACACAGCCACAAACGAACACATGTACGCGTGTGAACGTACAGCGACCAGCCGAGTCCGCTGAGAAAGTTCAGAGGATCAACGAATGAACCGTCGGTGGGCAACCTTATCCGCGGAACGTGCCCATGGAACTTCGCCTCGGGCACCCAGACTTAATTAGGTCGGCCACGTCCTCCTACGGGCGGATTCTCGAAGAAAACATAGAAAATAGCCACAAATACTCACTCAGATCTCGCCAAAAGAGCACGACAAGTCGTCCCAAGACTATTTGTTGACTCTTCTTGAATACTCCTTCTGTAGAGTTGTGGATGTCATGACAATGGGCACCCTAACAATCCGAGCATTGAATTAAACATGTGTTCAGAATGTGTAAAGCATGTTCTAAACATGTGTTTATACATATTTACAACATGTTCGAAACATGTTTTAGACATCTGGAAATTGTTCGGCGGCATGCTGCCCCTCCACTGATCGCCCTCCACAACTGTAGCAGGCCATGCCCGAACGGAACCCCAGCCCGCGAGGGCAGGGGCACGGACCACCGCGACGGCCATTGACCTCCAGAACACCGCATCGCCTTCACGGCGTGGCCCCCCCACAATCCGACCCCCCGCCCTGCGACAGGCTACTCCCTGGCTGGGCGAAAGGGGAGGTGCAAAGGGGGGGGTGAGAATCAGCTCACGCAGCTGATTTTCCCGGCGCCGGGAGGCGGCCATGTATCGAGGAACGGGCCCCTCGGTGGGGCCGAAACCAGCTGCATGCAGCAGATTTCGTACCCCCCCCTGTCCCTGTGCCCGCCCCCTAAGGAGGACGGAAGAGGTGAAGCCAATCGATCATGGAAGTAGGAAGGCCCTCAGAGTAGGTTGGAATCGGGAAATCCAAAAATAACTACTTTCAACGACCGATGGTTGCTCATCATGAGTCGCTTGAGTCGGGGAGACGTAAGACTCGGGTTCGAGGGACTCGGGTTGGCCTGAAGGGGCCATCAATGAAAATGACGAGACCAAACCTGAAATTTGAAGCGGGCTCCCGCTGCAAACAACCCATGAAAACGGAACCGTCAAAATCCAGTACTCGCTCGTCAAAGAATGTCGGCAAACCCCGAGTTCTGGCTTACTCGAGCCTTACGCTCCCCGATTCAGAGGAAGAAAAAACCGCCGAACATAGAGGGGAGGAGGAGGAGGAGGAGGAGGAGGAGGAGGAGGAGGAGGAGGAGGAGGAGGAGGAGGAGGAGGAAGGAGGAGGATGGAGGAGGAGGAGGAGAGGAGGAGGAGGAGGAGGAGGAGGAGGAGGAGGAGGAGGAGGAGGAGGAGGGAGGAGGAGGAGGAGGGGGAGGAGGAGGAGGAGGAGGGAGGAGGAGGAGGAGGGGGAGGAGGAGGGAGGAGGAGACTCTCGGAGCTCCGCGCGGAAATTTGTGGGTCGGCGCCGGAGCACCCATGGCGCGCGGAGCGCGCCATGGGGAACGGCTTGCGCATGTGCAGGCGTGTTTTCGTGCTCCTCTTTGGCGGCGCGCACAAGGGGGTGGAGGGAGGGGGGTGGGCTTCTTAGCAGGAGGATTCTTCTGAAAAAGCGCCGGCCTCACATCTATAGATACGGCCCGCGCCTTCTAAAGAAGCAGGCGTGCTTCGAAGAAGCCCTCCCCCCTCCCCCCACCCCCCTCTGCGCGTGGCTGACCTCTACGCCTTTGACAGCTCTGGGGCCTGGCATGGGCCCCCCGAAGGCCGAAGACTCACCAGAAGCCTGTTCCAGCGAACTTCTTCACTCAAGGGGCCCAAGGACACACAAATAGATACACACAAATAAAAAGATGCCTCATAGTTTCCCATATTTTCTTGGGTTTTGTCTCCCCCCCCACTTCCCATATTTTCCCATATTCTCTTCGGAGTCGAGGATTCATTGTGTCTGTGTGTTTTTCCCCCTCCTGATTCACGGCGCAGCTTCCGAGGCGGTGGCCCGGCGCTCACCGCAGGACCGCGTCGACGACCAGCGGAAGGTGATCCGACCCCTCCGCCGAGGCGTCGACCCAGGCAGAGGCCGCTGCCCCTCGCGCTCCGGCTCCACCGCCCTCGCCGCCGGCAGACAGGCGCCCCCAGTCGCGCGAGGCGTAGGCGAAGTCGATCCTTACCGGAGGCTGCCGGGGCGCCGTGAAGCGGCCCGCGGCCAACGGGGCCGCCGGCGCAGCCGCTGCGGCGGAGGCGGCGCCGGCAGGGCTGGCGAGGGTTTCGGAGAGGAGGTCGGAGTAGCCGGAGGCTTCCAGCGCGGCCAACGCACGCGAGTCCTCTAGGGGTGCCCAGCCTCTCTGCGCGTTCCGCTCCTGCAGGGCCGACCACTCTTCGCTCGTGTAGTCGGCCCGCTTCATCGCGTTCAGGTCGCCAACTAGCAGATGCGGCAGCCCTCCGGTCAAGTCGGCCACGCTTGCAAGCAAACTGTCGGCCTGGATGACCCGCTCCGCCTCTGAGATGTGATCCCAGTGTGTCGCCAAAACCGCGAACTGAGATGCACGAGACACCAGATCAGGATCATCGCTTTCCTCTTGGAGCGCGAGCCTAGTGGCGACGCAGCCGCGGACAATCTTCTTCTCAGCGCCAGCTGGCGTTCTCACGACAGAGCCGCCAGCCAAGTGCACAGACCCACTGTCCAGCAGCTCCAGGGCAGGCCCCACGAGAATGGCATTGCCGAACTTCTCGAAGCCCGGTGTCGCATGTGAGAATCTCAGCTGCATGCCCAAGTCCGAAGCCAATGCATCCAAACTGTCCTCCCGCTCCCTCCCCGTTGGATCGATGATGGGGAGCCGCCGGGCCTCCTGCAGGCACACGACATCAGCTTTCAAGCGCCTCAGGTTGGACAGCAGCAAGCCGTACGCGCGAGTCACGGCATCGTTGTCGGGCGGGCCGAAGCCCGCGCCCAGGCCGCAGACGTTGTAGGAAACGACTCGCAGACGGCGACCGTCGCATGCGGGGTCCGCGTCCCTCATCTGGCTCGCGGCGGGCACTGGGCAGCAACGAGCGGGCGCAGAGCGTGCAGGACCGCAGAAGCCGGCGCCGTGGCGAAGGACAGCCAGAGCAGCCAACAAGGCAGCGCCGACCGAAATCCCAGGAGACCCTTCGCGCACGCAGCGCTGCAAGCGGCGCATGGGACCCTCGTCGCGAAGAATTGGCTAAAGCCTTCACTTGAGCCAATAGATATACGTCATCACTACGGTCGTGCCGCCGCGAACGAGGTGCGATCTGGCATGTACAATGAGAACCGCCGCTCATACTGATCTGCAAACCCCTTCGCCCCTCCCCGTGGCCTACCATCAACGTTTGACGATATTACTGTGATGTGGGGTCCCCCGCTCTTGGTTGATGTCGGCCTCGCCTGCGGTGGACTTGTGATCAGCCGCGATGCCTGCCCCGGAATGCCGACGCCTCTGGCGAGCGGCTCAGTGCTGATCATCTGCCTCTGCCTGTGACCTCAGACGTTTCAACCGACATGAGGGTCTGATGTTGGTGATTATGGCGCATCACATGACAGCTGTTTGGACATGTACCGTTGAGAAGACTTTTCTGGCCCGCGAACTCTCCGACGAATCGCGTCGTGATGGCGACGGTCTGTGAATTTCCTGGGAATGCGGAGGCCGCGATCGCTACAAAAGCAGCACATCCAATTCAGCACTACACGAACTTGTCCATCGTGGTCAACTACATGCAGGATCCCCAGAGAGGCCCAGTAGATGGTGGAACCGCTCGGGGATGAGTGTTTGTAGGCCGTGTCTCCCTTGTAAATTCCGAATGGCACTTTCGCACAAGGGTTTGCGTTCCCGTGTATCTGCTCCACGGCGGCTTCCACGTGCAAATCGTCAATACATTTGCTAATTCTTTGGTGCCTCTCTGTGGCTGCCTGGCCGATTGACAAAATCGATCGTAACACACGCGAAGTGCATTATCCTTGCATGCTCCTCGATTGCCACCGTGTGGTTATTGAAGATCCCTCCCGCCGCCCCACCATTCCCTTCCCCCCTCCCCCCTCCCCCCTCCCTTGTCAGCCGCAGGGGAGGGGACTGGGGGAGGGGGCCCCTGATGTCTTGAACTCTCGACCCTGTTCCTGCGGCAGTCTGCATTTCACCGCGGGAAGATTTGGTTGACGGCCTGTGGGCCTTAGACACAAAAGTGCGGTTAGGAGGGGTCCCTCCCGCTGCCCTGCCGTGCTGGCGGGAAGGGACCAGGGGAGGGGGCCCTAATGGACGTCTTGAGCTCTCCCCGGGACTCCCGACCCCACTCCCTCCTTTCCTGCTTCCCCCTCCCTCCTTCCTCCTCTCCCCTTCCTACTCCCCAAACATCCGACGCCACAACGCGGCTCCCCGGAGGTCTGGACCTCGTCCTGGCGACCGGCTTTCCATCCCGAGTCGTGTTTGAAGATCACGGGCCTGGTGATGCGGGCCACCCAAACAACTCCCGTTGTGATTTTCTCATTTCTTCGCGACGGGAGTTAGTAGGCAATTCCTGGTAGATCTTTGTCAGGAAATTGAAAATGGACTAAGCCCGATTAAGGTGCCATTGAGCCGGATCAGGCCGGATAAAGCCTGGGCGCAGTCACATATTAAACGGGATGAAATTGAATGAAGCGGGACTGAGCTGGATTTAGCGGGATTGCATCAGATTGGGCCGGCTTTCGTCCACGGGTATACCAGCGCCGATTCTTAATTTGGGAGGGAGCTCCGGGGAACACGCACTGGCATAAACAGAAATGTCTGGAGGTGCGCACAGATTTCTTGGATCGGCGCTGGACCCCCTCCCTGACGCGCGCAGCGCGCCATGGGCGGCGCTGGCGGCGCCGCCGTGGGGTCCAGCGCAGATCCAGGAAATCCGCGCGGACCTCCGAAAGGCTCTGCTTCTGCAAGCGCTCGTCCCCCGAGGGCTGCACCCCAACGGGAGGAAGTCGGGGCCTCGCCGTCGCTCGGACGTCCATTCCCTGTGTTTTTTTTGGTTTTGTGCGTGGCTTTTTCGCCAAATGCTCAAGGATGCTCCTCGATGGTCCTCGCCGAAGGAAAAATGCACACGTCCGAGCGATGCCAGGGGGCTCCTCCTCTCTTCTTCCTGCTACCCCTCCTCCCTCAAGCCTGCGCCTCCTCCCCGACCCTCGCGCGCACGCCAGCATGGATCAGGGAGCTGAGCTGTGGATCTGGAACGTGCGCGCCGGATCCACGGATCGGGGAAGGCACCCCCGAAACATGAGGCCCGTGCCCCCTCGCTTGGCGACGGATCGCGCCGATGTCGTGGGGAAACCGGGCCCGCGCGCTTTACTAACAGACTTACGTGTCCTGGAGAGCCGCCCCCTCGCGGCTGCTGCCAGACGCCGCCCGCCGAGCCGCCCCCCTACCCCGGAGGCGTCGGGGCCGGGAGGGCCCTGGGGCCTCGTCCAGGAGCAGCAGCTTCGGCCCCCTCACGACGTTGCGCGCGAAGCTGATGAGCTGCCTGGGCGATGCGATGCGAGGCAACCGCCGTTGCGGACAATGTCTGGGCCTGGCTCCGGCCAAGTGGGTGACGCCGTGGCCTCGCGGACCTGGCTCGTCTGAATACATGCACAGTGAGGCACGTAAAAAGTTTGGAGGAGAGGAGGAGGACGAGGAGGATCAGGAGGAGGAGGGAGAGGACGTCCTTGGTGTCGGTGTCGGCCGAGGAGCAGGAGGGGGGCCAACCCCAGATCTCCAGCGAAACGGAACCGGCAGTTGTCCCTCGATTTCGACCTTCAGGCCCTTCTCGCGGGGCCACGGGGCCGTGACGAACGCATCCGGGACGAAAGCTGCCCCCAGGGAAGGGGTCGCGCCGTCTGGGGCAAGCACCAATCGTTGGACGTCTGGGAGGAGATAGAGAGGAGCGGCTCAAGGGAGGAAGCATCGACCTTGCATCGGCGACACATCGCCGATAGATCGGCGATGGGCCCCCGACAGCGACTCCGCACGTTCCTGGGCGGAGTGGGTTATCGGGCCCCTATCAGCGATCAATGAGCGATCTGGGGTTGATGCGTATCCCTTCCCCTGCCTGAGCCCGTCCCCCCTACAGTGCTGTTTTTTTAATACGTAGGATTTTAAACATCTGGGACTTTTAATACATGATCAATGTATGAGCACACTTATACATGTTACATGAACTCATCGTTGTGTTTAATGCTACCCCCTGCATTTTTACTACATGATCCGCACGCGGAGCATGTATTAAAACGGCACTGTAACGTTGTCCTTGAAGGAGGGGGGGGCAGGAAGGTCCAGATTCCAGATCCCCTTCGTCACGAGAACATCGGTACGACCGATCTCAAGGTGTTGGCCCTCTGGCAGACCGCCTCGGCCAAGGAGCACCAGGAGGTGGACGAGGACGAACCAAAACCCCCTTCGTGAAGACAGAAACGACACGAGCATTTTGCAAGTGTCGCCTCTGGACAACAGCCTCGGCCGACGAGCCAAGGACGTCCTTCGTCAAGAGAAGCTCGGAGGCCCATTTCCCAGTGTCGAGAAGTCTGAGACGGGCCCACGGCCATCAGAGAACTACCAACAATCAAGACAAGGGTCCGCGGGGATGGGGTCAAGAGGTCTGGGGGCTCACGTCACGGAACAAATACGATGCTGCATAAGTCGGGAAGATGCGAATAGAGGAGGGGAACGAACAAGGAGGTGGAGGAATATGTTGAGTCGTATAGAACAACGTCACACAGAAAGGGGAGAAGGATGACATAGACAGAGGAGGAAAGAGAAAAGGAGAAGCGAGGAAGGAGAAGGGTGGAGGAAGCTAAGGAGAAGGGGATACCGAGGAACCGAGGAAGGTACGGCCATGAAGGACGACGGATCTTACCCTGCCTGGCCCCGATACGAGGAGGCGGCGGGGATTAGAAGAGAGCGAGGGCATGGCACCGCGAGGAGAGAGGGGGAGGAAGCTGCTGAGAGAGCAGGGGCGGAGAGGGGAAGGCGGGGGGCAGCGAGGCGGAGGAGTGCTATAAGGGGGGGGGGCGGCGGAGGAGGACACGAGGGGAGCAGGATGAAGACGAGCCGGATGGATTGCGTAAACTTAAAACAGGGCTAGGATCGGGATAAATCGCTCCAGAGCGTTCCGGAGCGCTCTCAGAGCGTTCCGGAACGCTCTGGAGCGGCCGCGGCGCCCAATACATCCTCCAAACCCGCCGATTCTCAGAGATTTCGAGTCATCCCGATCCGATTTTGACCCGATCTTCGCGTCTTTTTAAAGCTCCCTCCCTCCCTCCCTCGCGAGCCTCTGGCCAAAGCTCAGGTTCAGCCCCTCGCCGTTGACCTGGAAGTTGAGGCCGTCCTCGGGCGGGGCCCGGCCGCCGCGGCGGCGACCAAGCTGAAGGGACCCTGGGACACACAAATAGACACGCACAAAGAAACATATTCCCCCCTAGTTTGCCATATGTTCTGGGTCTTCGTCTTCCCCACCCCCCACTTCCTATATTTTTCTATGTTTTCCTGGGGATCGACGATTCACTGTGTCTGTGTGTTTCTCGCCTGCTGAAGAGCGGGGGCCCGAGGCGAGACGGCACATGGGGCGGGCCTCCGGCTGCCATGGACGGGATGCAGCCTTCCCCCGCTCCGACTGACGCGAGGCGGCAGCGAAAGGCAAGGCGCAGGTGTGCACGGTGTACAGTCGGGGCGTTGACCTAAGGAACCCTAAATAAGGAACGAGGCCCCTTTTTTCCATGAGCAAACCTTCGATTTCCCATCGAAGCCATAAGGAAAGCCTGAGGCGAACTGCGAAACACTTTAGGAACGCGGAGCCCCTCCCCAACGAAAAGGGTTCCTTCCTCAGTGCCCCGACTGTAGCCTTCCCCCGCTCCGACCGATGTGTGGCGGCAGCTAAAAGCAAGGCGCAAGTGTGCACGGTGTGCTTCTTATACTTCTTCTGGCCTAGAGGCAATTGGGATCTCTCTCGCCTGTGTTCACGGCCGGCCGCCCTCACCGCTGAGCTGGGGCCCTCCTCCGCCTCACTCCCCAAACAGTGCTTGCACCTGCGCGGTACCATGGCGACGTCGACAACTGCAGGCACGAGGGTGATACTAGCGATGCTGGTGACACAGATGACGATGACAACGGCAATGCCAGTGACGGCGCCAATGCTGATCGCGCCGATGACGATGACGTAGTTCTCGTGTCGATGCTGAAGACTTTGGAAGGATTTCGACATGCGCGCGCGGCCGACAGGCGCAAATAGCCCACATGGTTTTATTAGACAGGCATCGTGCACCCTCCAGCAAACGCGCAAGGGCGTTCGAATGATTTCGACATGCGCGCGCGAGAGGACGGCTTGGCCA